TTTATTTATTGACTGGTTGATTGATTGACTGACTGACTGATTGGTTGATTGATTGATTGACTGACTGACTGGTTTATTTGTTGACTGGTTGATTGGTTGATTGATTGACTGACTGACTGACTGACTGACTAGTTGGTTTATTGGACAGCAGTTAATTGTCTCTGATCCTGACATGCTCCGCCTCCTTGTCCATCTCTGCAGGGCGTCCCATTGGACACCAGTAAACTGCCTCTGGACCAGCGGCTGCCCCCATACCCCCTCAGCCAGTCCCACCAGCACCAGCAGGGTCTGCCTGGGTCCCAGCCCGGACAGCAGCCCCCCCCTCTGGGTCACCACCACCACCAGTCCTGCCTCCAGCAGACCCAGCCCAGTCCCCACCAACAGCAGCTCCACCTGCAGAACTTACGGAACCAGAACCTGCAGCAGCACTTTGGACCAGTATGTCAGATTGTTCCATTCATGTGCCAGGATGTCTCGAGTTCTGATAGTCAGTCAGTCAGACTGTCAGTCAACCAGTCAGTCAGTCAGCCAATCAGTCAGTCAGTCAATCAGTCAACCAGTCAGTCAGTCAACCAGTCAGTCAGTCAGACTGTCAGTCAACCAGTCAGTCAGTCAGCCAATCAGTCAGTCAGTCAACCAGTCAATCAGTCAACCAGTCAGTCAGTCAACCAGTCAGTCAGTCAGCCAACCAGTCAGTCAGTCAACCAGTCAATCAGTCAACCAGTCAGTCAATCAGTCAACCAGTCAGTCAGTCAACCAGTCAATCAGTCAACCAGTCAGTCAACCAGTCAATCAGTCAACCAGTCAGTCAACCAGCCAATCAGTCAACCAGTCAGTCAATCAGTCAACCAGTCAGTCAACCAGTCAATCAGTCAACCAGTCAGTCAACCAGCCAATCAGTCAACCAGTCAGTCAATCAGTCAACCAGTCAGTCAACCAGTCAATCAGTCAACCAGTCAGTCAGCCAGTCAGTCAACCAACCAGCCAGTCAGGATGTCTCAAGTTCTGATAGGCAGACAGTTAGCCAGTCAGTCAGCCAGTCAACCAGCCAGTCAGTCAACCAGTTAGTCAGACAGTCAGTCAACCAGTCAGACAGTCAGTCAGTCAATCAATCAGTCAACCAACCAGTCAGTCAGGATGTCTCCAGTTCTGATAGTCAGTCAGCCAGTCAATCAGTCAGTCAACCAACCAGTCAGTCAGTCAATCAATCAGTCAACCAGTCATTCAGGATGTCTCCAGTTCTGATAGTCAGTCAGTCAACCAGTCAGTCAGTCAACCAATCAGTAAACCAGTCAGCCAGTCAGTCAACCAGTCAGTCAACCAGTCAGTCAGGATGTCTCGAGTTCTGATAGTCAGTCAGACATTCAGTCAACCAATCAGTCAGTCAGTCAGTCAATCAGTCAACCAACCGGTCAGTCAATCAATCAACCAACCAGTCTGTCAGGATGTCTCGAATTCTGATAGTCAGTCAGTCAGACAGTCAATCAATCAGTCAGCCAGTCAGTCAACCAGTCAGTCAGTCAACCAATCAGTCAACCAGTCAGTCAGTCAATCAGTCAACCAACCAGTCAGTCAGTAAATCAGACGACCAGTTACTCAGTCAACCAGTCAACCAACCAGTCCGACAGTCAGTTGGTCAGTCAGTCGGTCAACCAGTCAGTCATTCAGTCAGTCATTCAGTCAGTCAACCAGTCAGTCAGACAGTCAGTCAGTCAACCAGTCAGACAGTCAATCAGTCAACCAACCAACCAACCAGTCAGTCAGTCAATCAGTCAACCAGTCAGTCAGTCAGCCAGTCAGACAGTGAATCAGTCAACCAACCAGTCAGTCAGTCAACCAGTCAGTCAGACAATCAGTCAGTCAGTCAGTCAACCAACCATCTTCATTAACATTTGCCTTTCTTTATTTCTGCGGCCTCAGAGGCCAGTGGGCACTCAGGTGAACACAACACAGGTGAACTCACCTGTAAAGACTGAGGACATGTTGGATCCATGTGTCCAGACTTCCTTTCTGTGTCAAGTCAAACAGGAAGTGGATCAGCAGCGAGCCGGTGGCCTCCAGCAGCAGCACATCAACCTGACCACAGACTTTTATAATGTGAGACACATGACACACATGTTCCATACATGTGCATCCAACCACATTTACATCCAACCACATCCAACCACATGTACATCCAACCACATGTACATTCAACCATTTCCAACCACATGTACATCCAACCACATCCAACCACATGTACATCCAACCACATCCAACCACATGTACATCCAACCA